GCCGGACGCCGCGACGGTGTGGGCGCGTGCAATGGAGACAAAGTACGGCGCCGGCGCGTACAAACTCTTCCGCCCGCTATACAAGGACCTCGCGGACGAGATGCGGCGTGAGGTGTGCGCGAAGCCGCCGCCGCCGATAGACGGCTGGACGGTGCGCCACGACGAGGCGGGGAATCTCGCCGTCTTCACCCGCGCTGCCGACACGAAGGCGCGCACCGCTCGCGTCGTGGCGTACAGCCCGGTCGTCATGGCGAACCCGCCAAAGATCAACGAGCTGCTGTACTTCCTCGACTGGTTCCCGGTGGAGGTGCTCATGGCGCGGAATGGCGTCATTGTGCACTTCTCGATGGCCACAAACGAGGGAGGCATGCACATGCGCAACGTGCGCGCGTACAAGGAAGAGTCACAGCTGCTGGAGGTGACGGACGATGCGGCGTGGGTGCGGCGGAACCTCCACTACGACGGCCCCTGCCTGTGGCACCTGGAGCTCGACATGCAGAATGAGCTGTACGACGTGATGCAGGACCACGGCGTCACGCTGGACTGGATGCGGTGGGCGGCGGAGTGGGTGTACTACTTCGAGCACGTCGCGTACGTGCGCTGGTCGCTTGGCATGCTGCAGCAGCTCATCCCGCCAGCACAGCGCGGCCCCGAGGACGACTTCCTCACAGCTGAGGAGAAGGCGGCGCTCAGCAAACCAGCGGAGGACTGGCTGGATGAGCATTACATTTAGCGTCACGCTCCCTTCTTTCATTCCCCGCCACACACACACANATATATATATATATATATATAGATGCCTGTGTGTGTGTCTGTGCCGGCTTGTGTGCATCTCTTTGTTTTGGCGCATGTGTGTCTGTGTAGCTACACTGTTGTTGTTGTTGCCCTGCTTCACTTCCTGCAAGGCGCCAGCCCAACTTCCACCACCACCACTGCAAACAACTGCGAGAACAGAAGAAGCAGCAGCACACATGGGGAGGCACGTCGCTCTTGGCATCGTGGCAGAGGACGACGAGGCGCGGCGTGTCGCCAGTGCCGCCGCCGAGGCGCAGCAGGAGCCGCGCTTCGCAAAGAACAACGGTCCCTTCGTGGAGGTGTGGTTCGGCAAGAAGAAGCTATTCGGCCTCATTGAGTGCGCCGCGCCGAATGATTTCATTCAGGTCGCCTGCGAAGCCGACGATCATAAGAGCCACGACAACGGGAGTGCTGCCACCACAACTAACGGTGCGGCGGCTGCGCTGCGTGTCACGGATAACGTGTCTTTTGTGCTGCGCCTCGCCTCGGTGCCGCACGCGACGCTGCCGGTGCGGGCCCGCCGGGAGGACCCGTTCGTGAACAGCGTCGATCTCGTCGTTGAGTACGCGGCGTTGCTGCGGCGCGGCATGCGCGATGAGTTCGCCGGCGCCGATGCGGACGCGGAGTACGTGCGCTTCACAGACGCGGCCTGAGGCGCTGTGGCGGAGGCGCTCCTGGAGACACAACCGCCGGCCCCCCAGTGCGCGTGTGTGTGTGTGTGTGCGCGGCTGTGGG